GTGTTACTGCTTCTAGTCGGTTTCATACAGTTGCTGTATGTTAATAACAATAATGTTAGTTCTGTAAATTCTATTGTCACTTACCAGGGTAAATTTCGTGTCCTTAGCTCTGAGCGACATTAAACATATGAAGGTTACTTATACTGCTCGGCTACCCATGTCAAAAGTAATAAGACACGTTTCGAACCTAGAACAGAAGCTCACCTCCAAAGCTATATCTTCTTCCAGCTTTGTTTTATGACCAGAGATATTATTACAGATAACTAATAATTTTAAAGACAACTAGTGTGGCATTTTGCTATCTGGCTAAGAAATAGATTTTCACTGATTGGTTAACATTGTAAAGAATGGACATTTCTAAGAAATAAGTTTTGTTTAAACCAACATAGTTTACTTGAATTCCACTCATTAGATCATAAATTTAGAAATTCGAATTTCCTCATAAGGACAGGTTACTCCAGTGTTTATTAATGCTCGTCTAATTGTACAATTGTTGAGTATGAAATATCATAAACAAAGTCATAAGACATTGATGGTTATTCATTTGGTGTAGTGTTAACCCACGTCTAATTTAGTCTTGCGAGTACATCCCACTTTTATGGTGTTGGTGGAAAAGGAAATTCTATGAAATTTTAGCAGATCAACCGTCACATCATATGCACATATTTAAACAGAAAGAATGTTTTTGTACGTTTTTATGTTAAATATACTCCATAAAATCCGTTATATGATCATCGTTAATCAAAAATTATGATGCATAGTGTCACCAAAAGGTATTGTATTAACATTTAGTACAAAATATGCAAGTGAAAGTGTCTAATCTATGATTCATTAATTCTCCTTGCTAGTTAATGCAATTCATCTTCATGTTACTTACATATTAAGCTGATTTGACATGTATCAGTGAACTGACGTAGGTAATCCATTTTTATGTAAAATATTTTCTCCTCCAGTTTCCTTATTTCTGATGTTATCATTGTGGATTTTTATTTTATTTTTATGTCTGTAATTCAAGTCAGAACAGGCGAAAGTTATTCGATATCAAATACCGTCGGCTGATGGAAACGTTTCGCGAAAACAGCCTAAAGGTAGGTGTAACTAGAGTTCATTATTGATGTTAAATGCATGTCCTTATCCAGATTAAGTATTTACGCGTCAAGAATATGAAACACGCGCAAAACCAGTTGATATTAAATGACATATTGAAAATACTAAAAGCGACACCTTAAACGATGCAAATCGTCGTAAATATATTTAGAATAATGAATTGATAACCTTTAATTTTTTCAATTCCGGTTTGAAGTTTTCTGGACACAGTGAACCCAAAATTAATCAAATACGTCATTAAAGACCAACAAGCACCAAAAAAAACCATAGTATAGGGTAAAATGATACGAGCTTAAATTTAATGAAACTTTTCTCTCAAATATGTGGAGTCAGTTTTGAGAACAGCTTGCCTAATTTTGATGGTTTTTGCCCCAGGATTAAAGTATTTAGAAGTTCACACAGACTTGTACAACTCTTATTGTTTATTTTCTAGTCGACTACTATATGACTTATTTTTTGTGCGGAACAGATCGAATGTGACCAACGGTGGTATCCAGAACGCGCGTTCTGTCCCATTCGGAACCTTTCAGCTGGTGTATCTACATCATGGAGTTGATGTTCACTCTGGGAGTCAAGCCTAGTACCTTTCATTTCAAGCACCGACGCGTTATCCACATAGCTACTAAGTCCATTTAGTCACTTACTTATGCAATAGGTATTAACTTAATTTACTTTGTAATTGTTTGAAGCAGATGGTACTGGGTTCGAGTCCCGTATTGAACATCAACTCTGAGATGTAGACAAATGAGTCCCAAATAGGACAAAACGCGCTTCCTGAATTCTTCTGCCAGCCACATTTCATTTGTATGATATGTTTGTGTCATCCGTCCTCCACCACCTGTAATTGATGCATCCTTTTATCTTTCTTTATGAGTTGTTAACTTCTCAGATGATCGGCTTTCTTCGTTTTTTATGAACACTACACAACCATACAATATTTTCAGGATCATTGTATTAAATTTATCTGAAACTTTGTTCCAGCAGTGTCATTTTGGTTTGTAATAAAGATTACTTTACCTGTTTATTAACCCATGTTGATGCACTTTAGTTGTTAATTGGATCTATTGTGTTCAGCAAGTTTCTGATTAAATTTGATTCCATTAGATGTCACAATCAAAATTTTCAGGTTTTCGCGGTGACTACGATTAGTTAGTCAATCAGTTACAACATATAGCTTTGGTATAGATCGAAAATAAGATTTGAGTAATTGTAAATCAGTGAAATTAATTTTTAAAAAAAGACAGAAAACAGGTTATAAATTCAGAAGCCAGAACACTGTCTGTATATTACTTCAATCTTGTTCACGCACAAATAATAATGATAATACGTATAGTTATTATAATTAATCTTTCTTAATTTAATCCCGTCTGTTATCAGTGTCAATTGCTTCACACTATATCATACATCATTGTTACATACCATTACAGCAATGGTTGTAAGCAACTGAGGCGCAACCACGAAATATGATGAATTCATATTATTCTGTTTCAATTGTTGTCCTAGCTTTTTTAATTTATAAAGGTAAACAAACTGCATCGGACCTCAACTATGTGGTCTATTTATATCACACTCTATTTGATTCCTAAATATCTTCATGTCCGTTCGCGAGTGGCGTAACGAATACACATTTTCAAGTATCACTAAACCACGATAAGATTACTTCGTAATTCTACATAATTTTTAGTGATTTCCTAACATACAGCAATCTGTATCATGTATATATTATGTAGTTAAGTAGAATGAAATTGTATACTTGATCAAATCCTCATTCTATGTAACTTTCTATCTAATTCGGTATATTCCTCCTAGAGGGTATGATCAATATGACTGGTAAATCATATGTATGCATTCTTCATGAATATTGTCAAAATGTTATACGTCGTCCACCGACATATCAGACAACAGTTCTTGAAAATGATAAAAATCCCTATCAAATGACTGTGTTTATTAATGGTAATCCATATGGAACTGGTACAGGACAAAGTAAAAAGTGTGCAAGATTAGAAGCGGGTACGTTTGTTTTTTCGTTTGTTGAATTCTGAAGATTACTATTTATTGTTCTTATTCTTGTATTAAAGCCAGCAGAATTATGTACATAACAGACATGAAAGTTTTGAGTAGTCATGTTACCAGATACATCGACATTGTTGCATGACTCAAACATTCTTGTTAGAATGAATGAAGTTCAGAAGAGTATTTAAAGAATAATTTGAGTTCTGAATAATTTTAATGATGATTTTTGAGATAAACTTAATTGTTAAGTATTTTATGCATATACTTAGTAATTATCTCGAAACTTTACATCCTGTTTGTTAAAATAGACTGCTCGAGTAATAATCTTGGATATAATGGGAATGATTTATCTGGTAATTTTAGACTTCCTATGTTCTCAATCTTTAAAACTGTACATTCTCTTAAAATAATTATATAATGTTTACTTTCTTTTATTTTATGAAGCTCGTAAGGCGCTGGAAGTTTTAATTCCTGACTTTCAAAAGATTGTTTGTAACAATTCACATCAAACAGGTCCAGTGGTTGCTTCTGATCGTGATATGCAATTGTTCGATTCCGTTTCAGTAACTGATCCACGTTTGTATGAATTATCTGTACGTATGGCATTACCTACTCCATATAATTTACTTGTTGAATGTTTAAGTCGAAGTTGTGTTCCTGAGTCTGATTTAAAATCAAATATGATATCTCAAGGACGCAGTAAACATTTTTTCACTTTACAGCTGAGAGAACATACTGTTAAGGTAAGCTTTATACTGTTCTAATAATAATATTTATATTATGAATAATTTATTTATAACTTTAAAAAGGTCATTCATGAAATGAAGTCACATTTATACTCAATGAATTTGAAAGTCGTTGCAAGAGGGGAAATGTTAATTAGTAGTATGTTTATTAGTATCCCATACTCGTTAAACTCCTTAAGTGAAAAAAAACACTGTTAGTGGGACATAGATGAAATAAAGCATGACTGCGTTAGCTGCGCGCTGATTGGCTAAATCTAATCCTGTCAGTGCTAGTCAATCACGTGGATGACATTCCAAAAACTTATCATGTAAAAACTATAAAGATACTACTAACGTTCTATCTAATTTGCCTTCGCCTTTGGCTTCTTATTTCCAATTAACCTTGCTATTTGAAATATAATCTTTTCCCGTTCCACCGTGTTCTGATTTTTCGGAACTTGTCCAGTGTATTGTGGTCAGAGAATACCAAGCTATAGGGATTAGCTGGGAACTATTAAGCGAGCGCTACAGCACACACGATACTATTTTTAAACGTTTTTTATAACAATATGTCATCCAGTTTTATGATTTGTAGGTAGACCATACAATTTCTATAAGTAGAGAACTCTTGGTCTTAAACATTCACTAGTTGATTCGTCTGTTTTTTCCCTTATAACCTAACTAATATTCTTCTCGGTTATGTTTGCCTTGTTTGTCTATAGGGAAAGTTTCAGTATCATCTTGTACTTTATACATTTCTGAGTGACATTACTGTTCATTTAAATCTCCTAAACCGGAATCTTCATTAGGCTCTCATGACAATACTCCATCATTTGTTATCAGCTCAGGTGCGAATAGATATAAAGGAGCTGTTTGTGTGGTAGCATATTGTTTTGTTAGATTCAGAAAAGTGACTTTGAATTGACCTTTCATCTCTTTGAAAATAAGCTTTCAATCGGACAGCTGATTATACATGTATATTACACATTAAATTACCCTTGTAAAATATATTTTTATTGCGCCAAGTTCATGCTTATGTAGAACATATAAAACGAATAATTTTTATTAAAATTAACCATTTCAATCATCATAGGTTAGATGTAAAAACAAAAGAGAAGGTCGTCATTTATCTGCTCAACATCTTTTAGCTCGTCTTCATCCTGAAGTGAATACCTGGAGTGGTCTTTTGCGTATGTATGGTCCAGGCAGTAAACCAGACAAACGAAATGAACTAGAAACAATACAAGATGCACAAATTCAACAAAAATCTGCTGTAAAAGCTAGTTTAATTCGTTTACTGAAAGCTAAAATGAGTGAATTAGCTGACCAATGGGTAAATAATTGGTTTGTATAAAGGCTTTTTTGTAATATATTGCTTTTAAAAATAATTTCATTTATTTTCAACTCCAAATCTTGATTTTTAAACACTTCAGTTGTTAAAGTCGTTTACACCCAGAGTTTTCTATCTTGTATATTATGGTTATTTTTTATCAATCTATATATATATTTTGGTTTGTCTTTTGAAGTCTTTTAATTTTAAATACATAAGTCTCTGGCTTACCATCACACTCTTATCTAGATTATAGTGTTGATTGTCCAAAAAATAAGGAACACCAGTTAGTATGTTTTTCAAAGACTTAAATTAATGCTGTTATTTATTTTGTTGTATAGAATTTCTTAGCTATAACTAATCCCGAATGAATGGATGTATATTTCAGAAAATTCAGTTGCTCATTCCTTTTTCTTTGTATTTCTACGTTCTTACACATTACCCCTCACTTAAATGGTCTAATAAGCTTTCATAATCAAAATATTACTTCAATGATAGCTGTTTTTTTAAAAAGAATTACACACAAAACACACGATGGTAATTACCGAAACTACACGTTTTGTGAAGGTCAATGGTACTATCGGACTTATCCTAAGCTTTATTAGACTGAGCGGGGTTTAGACCTTTAAGCTCAGTTATTAAAATCTTAGCGCTTTAGCTCCAAATTTGTTATTTTGTTGTAAAGGTTTGTCATATGATCATAACATTTGATTTTATGTACTTCTGGTATAATTTGTTTTGAAGAATGAGCAATCAGTGGAAAACCTCGAAGTATGTAATCATAGTTTGAGTAGTTTGACGATGACAATAGTGCTGCTCTTGTTGAATGATACGTTTAGAAAAAATATCCCTAATAATGAATATCAACAAACAACTAATCATGCTCTGTCTTTAGTAAACTCAACTCATTATCCTAATTGTCGTCGGTAGCTACAGTCTTGCATTTTAACATTACCTTTCGTTCCAAAGCGGAATATATTATTTGAAATTGTAGATTACCATTACATAATTTTTAAACATATAAATGTGTTGTATTACGTATATCTTATAAAGACATAAATATCAATAACTACGAAATGATAAATATTATCAAAAAAAAACAATACTATATTGATATAATGCATTGACGAAAAGCACACTAAATTATTTATGTTATGACTGCGTCAGTGTAATTATTTGAATCTTATTAAATTGCTTGATACTTTTTTTTGGATTTAGGAAAAGTCTGACGGAAGTTTGCACCCGAAAGGGAAGTTTTTTGTTTCACCCTATAACCTTCCTGTGGTTGCCTTTCATCCTGATTCTGAGAGTGATTTGTACAGTTCTGCACCAACCGCATCCTCCTCTTCCCCACCTGTGCTACCACCAACATCGGATTAGTCTGTTTTTTGTATAACTTTATTTTTACTTTCCATATTGAAAATTTTTTCCCGATTTCTTCCCGGAACTGTTTGCTTATATTGCTGTATTTACTATTTTACTATACTGAATAAAAGTTTGACATATAACCAATCGAACATTTTATCTTCATTACTGTTCAAATAGAAAGTTGGACGGCGAGTTAGTTGATACTTTAGTTAGTAAATAATCATTAAGTTCAGGAAACATATTTAACTTGATGTTTCTTTGCATCTATACCAATCAATATGTAAATTTTAAGTGTGTTTTTAACAATAATATATGATGTGCTTTGACGCTGATTAATTTAAAGAGATGATATGATTCTATATAGTTTCAGGATGGTTAATGTCTGCTAATGATTTTGGCTTCACTTTCGTTCTTCGAGATAAGGTAACTAATCTGAATCGCACAGATGAAGAAGATTGTAATTCCTCTCTAGGTAACTCCACGGTACATCAGGCGTACAATTGTGTAGGCACAATGAAACTTACAATTATTTTACTGCAATAACAGTAGGAAAGTATGCAGCTCGGTGAATGCATTATAACATAAACATATTTTTCATAAGAACATGGGAAAACGTAAGTATAAATAAGCACTCAAAAATATACCTCATGTATATTGTGGTAAGACGTAAGTGTGCAAATATATGTAAAATTATTATTATAATTATCTGTATGATGGGATCACGTAAACAATACTGCTGTCATAGAGCTGCTACGTTGATCAAAATGAATTACATTGTCTACAACAAGCGTTGCTAAAATTCTTGTGCTCTATTCTGATCCGCTATTATTCAGTTATTATTCGCTCACCATTCTTCCACTATTTACTCTAATGAAAAATGATCGAATCTGGTATGGTAAATGGTCTAATTCATAATCTAACAGTCGCGTATGAACTATCATCGAAGTCAGAGAGAATACCATTAACACGATCAAAGGTATTTTGTTTGAAATCTGATTATGGCGAAAAATAATGTGTTGATGAATAATCATTTATTTATTGCAAACACCATAGCTATCAATATACTAAGGGTTTTGGCATTTATTCGGTTTCAAAAAACGCAGAAAATTTGATAGCAGCGTCCATACTTTTCAGCTTCGAAACCAATATCTACTATTCTACTTCGAAGGAAGTAAGTTGAGCTACTTAAAGTAAACTCTAGCTTTTGCATGCACCAATGGGTGTGGAACAAGTTATATATATATATATATATATATATATATATATATATATATATATGGAATTTTAACACCCTACCTCTGAAATCGCATTGTAGTCTGATTTTCCATTTTGAAGTCGTTTTCAAAAGCCATTGAAATACACAGTAACTCAGTTAGGTGTGAGAGGATGCTTCTTCTCTGTCAGTTTTCCATCCAAGCGCCTCAATTATTTACGATAATAGTACTTTTAATTCATTCACCTTTCGTGCCTGATAGAGGAACAAGGTATTTTGTCAGCTCAGAATAGAATTTCAAACGGGATCTTTCGTTAAATTCATTGATATTAATTGTGATTACAATATTTGACATAGATAGGTTGGAGTAAATAAAAACGTATTGTTCAGGGATCTCTCTGGCAAGACAGCGTAGGCATTCATCGGTTTTATATCTTTTGTCAACTTCAAACTCTTATCATCGATGTGTTTCTCTTAAACTGTTTGTTTGCATTCTTCAAATCTAGTACGGTCATATTCTGTTAGCTTATAGTGTGTCGATTTACCGCGTGTTCTTAAGCTCGGTAATTAACTCGTTCAGACAATCGTTGCTAAATAGCGTCTAACGGTTTATAAATCAGAAGGTGAATTCGTAGTGATGAATGCGTTTATTCGGGACACATCACAAAGCGAAGCGGTGAGTAAAACGAATGAGGCGACGTGAACTGCTGAAGGCTTTTCAGCCAACTCCTTGGATTACAATGCGAACGAATAGGCGAAAGAAGCGATGTGGAGAAGGCTAGTGAGCCAACTCTTTGAAATATAGCATGACTAAGAATATATAGTCAGACAAAAATAAGACAGACATATGACAAGCGAAATAGGTATGCACACACATGAATAAAAGTGACGAATGACTGACAAGGTCAAAGGCAAGCTAGACAAGTCATGTGAGTTCATAGGGGTAGTAAGAGATTAACATTAAAGCGAGAAGGATGAGTAAACGCGTAGGCGTAAGCAATGCTCGGCGTACAAGCTCATACAAACCAGACAATAAAAAAATACCAATGGTACATATAGGTTGTTGCTATACAAATAGCGTGGTTACATAAGTTAATCGAAAGGCATAATCAAATTAAATATGAGCGAACTCAAGTTTATGTGGAGGCACTACAATAGCCCCCTTCCAGCAAACAAGGATACGAAAGTGTTTGTGTTTGCGAAAAAAATCGTCGGAAAACATCAGAAGTTAAGAAAATTAAAGTTACCTTGTCCAAGTACGTGCGTAGGGTCGCATAGTAAAAGAAGATCAAAAATATATGGTAAGCGGTTATTAGCAAAAATAATCGATTTCGAATAGAATACATTAGGAGCAGGTGTACGATACGAAAATGTAATACAAATGCTGCAAAATATTTAATATCATTTGGGCACGACAGTTATGACGGAGTTCGATAATCGTATAGACATCACGGTAAGGCTCATCGATAAATCGAGTGGCTGCAGAGAAGTGAAGAGATTGCGGTCGAGATTATCGTGGAAAAATTTAGGAGAATAAAGCTGCGTACAGATGCGATGCATGGACATTAAATGCATATCGGGAACATAAGTTACTACCATTGAGTATATTACTCCAAACTTATGTGTATGAAAGCGTTGCAAACGATTGCCAGCGTTGGGGTAGTCGAAAAAATGCGAATATCAGCGTGCAGGAGGTTCGCTCGACTGCTTGAACTACTGCTTCATGTGCATGTGCGTAAGATCATACCACCAATTTACTTAGCAGGCTGCAAGATTTTCGAGTACGAGCAGCTGATGAGTACATAGAGGATATCTCCTATGCGATGATCGTACAGCCACGGAAATATTAATGGACGATAATTGTCGTTGAGCCATTGCTTTGATCAGCGATTCGAAACATAATAATGCGATACGGCAAAATAAATGGAACGAACTCACCTTAATCATGAACGTCGTTCGTGGTATCGAAAGAAGTAAAATAATGTTTATGAAATAATTGTCATGCAATAAGAATATGATAATGATAATAATCCGTACAATATTGATATAATCCACAATAGTAATTCGTATCGAAATAGTTATTGTCAGTAATAATGTGGACGCGTTTGATTCGTGGTCGTAGTTTTCTGGATTACTAATCGGTGATTGCGTTCAATTCTACGTCGAAATTACCAATTAGTTGGAAGCGTTCGATTTTTCGTCAGTATCAGGAAACATCCTCAGAACGTCGGGCAGCTTTGTGATGAGTACGTTAGATATCACGTCGGGCTCATCATTTGTTGTGAGCGAGTCCGATACCAGATTGACTATGCTCACCACTAAATGTTCCATAATATCGCTGTTGTGAATGAGAACATAGGTGGGGCAACCGGATTGTAGTTAACGAAAATTACAGAGTTACTCAGTAAAATCGGAAGACCATATCGTAAATCGTTAAGTTGCAAAATATCAGTTCATCATATCGAACTGGACTGTTCCTGTTGCAAAACATCAATCCATTGTCACTATTCATGCGTTTCGTACAAATTCCATTGTTTTCTAACTCTTCCTTTCTTGATCTTTCCCCATCTTCTGCTGCCAGACATTACGTTGACACTCACATCATAAACTACTTATAAGTAGCTCGCAACACACTCGTCCCCCCTTTAAATAATCTGTCGTCACTTTCAAAACAGGGACCCTGGTCAGTTAGTATCACCTTCCGTATTCCGTGACGCGTTAAAATATGCCGGATTATCACTTCGGTCATTGTTCTTGCCCGCTGGTCTGGAATGGGTACGGCATCTATCCAACGTGTAGCGTTTACCAGTTCCCGATCTGGGACACGGCGGCAGGCACACTCTCGATAAATTGCGACGCCAACAACTGTGCCCCTGACTCCCCATCCATACTCGGCAGCGTACGGCGCAGCAACATCGTGAGCTCCACAGCCAGCACCAACGGGTCAAGATTGGCCGACAGCCTCGCCAGCCGGAACCTCTGTGGCGCCTCCTCACTGTCCACCGGGATGTCGAACTCCGTCATCAGCCGCCCGTTGACCGTCTCCCACGCCGTCTTCCCGGCGGCACCGTCCAGGATGTCGTATATCGCCTTCACCCTACCTCCCCGCAGCGACCCCAGCACCGCCAACTCCGCCCAGGGCCCCTTCTCACCCACCAGCTTCACCGCATTTTCAAACTCCTCCAGGAAGATCCGCAAATCTCCGTCTTCCAACTCCTACCCCTCCACGGGAGCTCCTTGCTTCGAGCAGGCAGTGACATCGTGATTAAAAGCAAAATAAATCCATATTCCAACGTTTTATTAAAGGAGACTTTGGCATTACATGGGTAGCAGCAAATGGAGAAAAATGGCAGCAACGCGAAGAGAACGTTGCGCGCAAGAACTCGTAGCTGTGGTTTTGGAACAGTTTTACAAAAGATGTACAACAATGTTTATTTTTCACAAACCGTATTTTTTTCGTAGAAGCGTTCCACTACAAGCTCATGCAACCGATGTTTTCTAAGCGAAATATTCTTTTCCATTTCCGGTAATCTTGGCTTGATTACATTAAAAAAGCAAACTATTAACAGCATAAGAAAACCGACTTTCACACGTGACTTGACTGCCCAGGTTGTTAAATAGTACATTCGTATGAGTAATCTGGAAGAGCATACAGATAGAGTGATAAATCTCTTTTCAGTCAAGTGTATGAAAGCAGAATAAATAATGAAAACAAGGTGGTCCTGATATAACGAGAATTATCTTGTGTGACTCCAGAAAAACGTGAGGACAGAGAATAGTTATACATGAACATGTTTTGACGAGGTGAATAATGAGTTCGTTAATTTTAAACTTTTGTATCATATGATGTTGAAAATTTACTTTAAAATAATGCGTTACATGAAGTCGCTGTGAGTAGGATAAGGATAATAAGGCTGTAAATTGATG